AACTTTATTTTTAATTAATTTTATTTTTACTTGTGATGTCTATAAATATCTCTTGTTTTTATTAATATTTTATACATCATATCACGTGTACAAGTATTATAAATCCCGAACAAAGTGAATCATCGGAGCTAAATTGGATTAACATCCAAACTCGCTCTCCCAACCGATGGTCACAGTAGGTAAGGTCAAAATACTGAAATACGTTATTACTTCATTTGTTATGCAACATACCAGATCGTTGATTCTTTTTATTAGTTTAGCCATCATATTTATACATTCAAGATGGCCGTGATCTGTGGTCGCAACCAAGATCTGTATTCTTGAACCACGATTTGTGGTCTCAAACCCAGATCTTCGATACACAGACACTTAATAGCGGAAACTCTAATGAAATACATGAAAAATATATACATGAAAAAGATAACAAAAATTTTTATAACACTTGGCAAATAACTGATCAGGAACTTCATGGGAACCTAAATATAAAAAGTATAAATGTAGATAGTATTATCTTTGAAAGTACACAGCATTGCTAAAAAAAAAAAAAAAAATGCAAATAAAATGTAAAGGTGTTAAATAAACGTAGAGTTAGATTTGAAAAAGAAAAAACAGTGCAAAGAAAGAACAGGAATAATGCAAAAAAAAAAAAAAAAAAAATTTATTAATACATAAAGTTAAGAAAGAAAAAAAGAAATAAAAACTGGGCTTGAAAAAAGGCCAAGCGGAGCAAGACCGAGCACTATATAAGAAAAATCTAAGAATAAAAACTTTGTTTATATACTTTATGATTCTATTTAAAATAGCCATATGTGTTGAGTTCTATTTTCATAGTGATATAAGCCGATTAATCGACTTAGGCTAATAAAATAGAATTGATCATGTTCAAATTTATCTGGGATTTATATTATAAAACCTCGAACTTAAAATATATGTTGTAGGTGGATTTAGAAATTTTGTGGATTCGGAATCCATTTAAGTGGAGTTGGATCTTAAAACAATTTAGGTTTTAAATAGAATTTATCATAAATGGTTTGCTCATATAGGCGAAAATTTTTAATGTAATGTTGTGATTACTACCGTATAGTTCCGAAATTAAGCACCCCTTTTTTGTTATAAGAGGTGCTTATTTTCGGATATAATTTTAAGAATAAATAATATAGGATTTTAGTACTAAGTAAACTTGCCTTCTATTTATAAATAAAACTATTCCCCAGGTCAAGACAATTCTAATAGCAGTATAATCATCAAAATTGGTTCAGTGGAATTTGCTCTTTAAAATTCGGACGACGTTTGTTTACATTTGCTTTACATGATCTGTATACTCGTAAACAAAAGTCGCCCGAACTTTGAAGAGCAATTGTGAGAGTTCTACTGAACCAATTTTGATGATTTTACTACCATTAGAATCTACTTGACCTAGAGAATAACTTTACTTAGAAACAGAAAGTATGCTTACTTAGTAAAAAATCAGATACGATCATACATAAGGGGTGCTTATTTTCTGATATTACATAAAATTTGATGGTGCTTAATTTCGGGGGTGCTTAATTTCGGAACTATACGGTAAAATTCGAATTACTAAAATCAAAAACTCTGCACGTTTGTAGTTGTTTTGATTACTGACTCATGAACAGCGTATAAAAACTGATAATTAACTGATAAGTAACTCATAAGCAATTCATAAATAATTTTACAATCATTGGAAAATAATCACTTAATCCTAGTAACCACATTATATCTATTGACAACTGTAAAACGGCGAGTCTGTCGCTAATCGATCCGAGACCTCGTGTAACCTACGATCGGCTTAGTCGAGAAGAGGCGTTTAAATTTGACGAGTGGTGATTTTAATCGTAGGTATGTCTTCTTTACTATATCAGGAACTCAATACAATTCACTAACGCTTAAGCTTTCAATCTACAGTCAATCTAACAAAACCACGGCTCGAGTTCTTCACAATAACCCAAAACCGGAATCAAGAGACCACAGAATCCACAGTCCGTCGGGAAGCTGGAAAAACAACCTCAACTATCTTCGGTACGTCGAGACAGCTGGAAAATAATAACCACGGAGGCTCTCAGTACGTCGAGAAACAACCGGACAGAGTTTCGGTACAATTTATGTTTATCACGTGAACAAGGGACAGTGATCGTATTACTTATGCCACTTAAGTAATAGATCCGGATGTAAGTGTTTTATTTAACGAATATACAAGGTATGAAATTATTAGGAACGAATTTTTTTGTGAATCACGGAAGGATTTTTTTTTTTTTCCTCCAAGGGCGAGAGGCCTTTATTATATACATTTTATTACTTAGGACCAATTATACATGTTATCTTTGTTATATTTATTTTGCCAGGGATGTATTATATATTATATAGATCATTGATATCATTAATATTTGTTATTCCACTAATATTATATTTACCGGGCATACCAGGTATACCAGGTACTGTATACTACCGGGATATCTATTTTAAGCAAAAGATCAACCCATCCATTAATTTGATACTGCGCCGCTTCGATCATCATCTCACACGTGTTACCGGGGCACATTTCTGCGGTTCACACTATATACATATTATTGGCTCAAATTCTATGTAATCTCATCATTCGAATTATCTAATCACAAAAATTGAATATTTCCGCCCATATGTTGCTATTAGATCTTTTCATTGCTTAGTCAACTAAACAAGCTCAAAACTTCGACTTGGTTAGTTGATTGTACAGGCTTCGATTAGTTTTACCACCTTTCCCTTCGTTTACCATCTTTCATTAATTTCGTCATCTCCCTTTCAAACCTTTTTAAGAGAAAATCGAAAATATGATTCGACCTTTACCAGGCGAAATACAATTATTTAACACTAAAAATATTTTAATTTTTAAGATTAAATAACATTATAATGAATAGACTATGTATATTTATATTATAAAAACTTTTCTCCTTGTCCCAAGTTATAATAAAGATGAGAAACAATAACAATATATCACGTCTTCTCTACCACATGTTAAAAGGACGATAATTCATGTTCTATATAATCACACTGATTCATTAGCTAGCACTTTTCTCCAAGTCCTTTACTTTCTTTGGAGCTATGAATTTATCATGTATAAAACGTGCCGGTCCTGGACAACACAAAAATGGATAGATGAGGAATGGTAGCATGCCTGGAGCCTTTTTACCAAACAAGAACATATATAAGGTTACAAGGAAAGCATTTGCTCCACCAAGTGAGGTAAAGAAGGTGAGAACCTTGAATTGGGAAGCTTTACTAAAAGATTAATAAAACAGATAATATTATTATCAATATGAATTTTTTGGTCATTAAACACATGAAATTTTTGTTCTCTTAAAAGCCATTCGTCATATTAAATAGAAAATCAAGTTGGTTTTGCAAATATAACGATAAAAATATTAAAATTAATTCATGATAGATCATGACATACTCTGATTCCTTATAAGTAATTAAAGTAGATGATTGATTATATATTTCAAAAGTAGTAGTGAATTGTGATGGAATGACCTGCGGGTTTAATGGGTTAAGAGTTTCTATTTGTAAAAGTAAAAATGAATACTTTAATATATATAAAATTAGAAAATAATTTAATCTGATAGTCATTTATTGCTTACGTATCCTCGTCGAAAGTCCAAAATAATCAAACGTATGTTTAGATGATTTTACTGCAATTGACAAAATTCCACGCTTTAAAGAACTACCAAGATCTGAATATTTAACTCGCTCTAACCATATAATTTGTCTCTATATAGATATAATGTATAAAATATTAATAAAAACAAGAGATATTTATAGACATCACAAGTAAAAATAAAATTAATTAAAAATAAAGTT